AAGGTGCTAGTTTCTTCGTATTGTGTTTATTTTTGTTGTCCAAGCTGCAGCTCCCACGGCGGTGGCAATGTGCCAGTCTAGAAAGAAGTTCACTTGGCTCATTTTCCATCACGGTGGTATCTTCTATGTCGACATAGAGCCAGTGAGAGTATGTGTGTACAAATAAGTTCCTTTGGCTCATTTTCCATTGTGTATGTTTCCCAACAAGAAACCCCAACTAAACCCTAAATATTTTCTCCCTTGAGAACAAGTATCACGATTAGTTTCCGGACACTAGTTGCTCTTGAAATTAATCTCGAACAATATTAATTGGGGAAATAGTTATGTGTCACTCGATAAGGAGTAGAAAGTGCCTGACTAACTTGGTTGTTTCAGAAGGCAATATATGACATAAACATTTTACTTATACTCAAACCAACTCTAAAATGTCGCTTTCTAGCCGACATTTTTCTAGTTATGAACCAATTGTCGTATATTGACTCAATGTAGCTCGAGCTATTCTTGTCTGTCTAATGTTGTCCAAGGAAATTTATTTTTAGTATGCACATCTTATTATTTTATGAAACTAGAAATTATGTTATTTTTATTAATTTTCCTAATATGATATGTTGCCTTGCCAGCTCCATTATTAGAGCATACTTTTCTATGTTCGTTAAAAATCATCGGTGCACCCACATTAATAGCATGAAGATTCATCCATGGGATAAGGAGTAGAAAGTGTCTAGCTATTTTTGCTGATACAGAAGGTCGTTGTTTACAGTATGTCCGTTGCAGGGCCAAACTCCAAAATGTTGGGTCTTTTTACACCCCCCCTTCCTATTTATGAGCTAATGGCTATATATGTGGGCTCAGCGTAGTTCGAGCTAATCTTGTTTCTCTTTTTATTTTTCATAAAGGATGGATTTAATCGACTCAAAATAAATCATCAAGGGCCAGCCTCTGCAAAACTATGAGGAACAGAATCAACATCAACACACACGCATAGAAAAACATACAGACAAAGAGCAAAGTCATACAAAACCAAAGATATATATAGACAGAGGAAAATGAAAAAAAAAATGAAGCGCTCAAAACAACGACCGACAAAACTACAACAGCGAGCATATCCGCACAAACCATATTCTTGTTTGTCTAGTTTTAGAGAAGGGGAATGTATGTTCAATATGCGCCTTATTAATTTCTGTAACTAGAAACCTATATACTCCCTCTGTTCCAAAATAGATGACTCAACTTTGTACGAACTTAGAACGGAGGGAGTAGTGTCCATCAGTGCCTCCGTTATTAGATCATGCTTGTTTGTGTTGGTTAAAAATCATCGGTGCATCCACATTTATAGCTGGAAGATCCATCCATGGGATAAGGAGTAGAAAGTGCCTAACTAATTTGGTTGATACAGAAGATAAATGATTACATAAATGTTTCACTATATTTGTTGTAGG